GGTTCTGAATCTCATCATGACCTCCCTGCCTAAAGCTAATGCCAGATGTGGTGTTGGCCTCTTCCAAGCGGTGGCTGGAGAACACGACAACTGCAACATCTTGGTCTCCCCTGTGAATGCCACTTCAGCGCTGGGCCTGCTTGCCCTCGCATCTGGATGCGAACAGGCAGCTGAGATTGAGAAGGTAGGTTGAACTGGCCAGGTGGAAGGAAGCCTTCGACCTGAGTCCTTATCAATGGCTTCCCTCCTCACTGGCATTGCTACGTTGTGGTACAATTATGATATGCCTATATTGGATTAAACCATTGTATGATTATATTTGATTAAACTGTTATTAAGATATGACTATATTTGATTAAACTCAAACCATCCTTCATCCCTAGTAAGGGCAGAATTGATATTTGCAGCATAAACCATTCTTGATCAAGTTATCATTGCAAGGCCTTATGGGGGGAAATTCATTGCTTTGCTCCAAAGTTTAGGGCAATTGCTGGTCAGTATACAGTGATTTCAGTACTTCTACCTTTTTTTGAGAAACCTTTGCCTCAGTTCTGTTATGACATGCACTCATATGTGTGTATACTGTACTCATATGACAAGCACTTATATGTACTAGATTTAATACAGTTAGTTTGATGACACAATTCAGCTGCACAGTATCTCATTTTGTGTTGCTTTCATTCTTGTTCTTTGTAGTCCATGGACTTTTCTATATGTATTTAGCCCATTCAAGATTCATCTTCCACCGAAAGGACTCCCTCTCTTGTTTTATAGCTTCCAAACTTTCCTGGAAGGAGGCTTTTAGAAAATGGCCTCTGATTATGATTATAGTGTACAGGATTGCTCATACTGAGAAAAGTTCTCCCTTCGGATCTTATGGTCCTGGGTCAAACTTAAGCATTCCTGCTTCCATTGGTCTGTGTCCTCAAGAATATCAGGACAATTATCTTGCATTGTATGAACTATCAGCTAACTAACATCTAACATCCAGTATAGTAATCAGTAAGCCACACTGAATTAATAACAATGCCTTTATTTTCTTATTATATGACAGCAACAGCATTTTATGTTCTTGCAAGGTCAGGTAAAATAACTAGCCAGCACACAGAAAGACAGCCAAGTCCTTTCCCAGTCAGTTCTGCTCATGTTTATGCTTGAACAGGTTACATGGATCACTGGCACCTTTCAAAACTGAGCTAGGCACATCAAGGACCCTACGTGCAAATCATTAGCTAATCCAGTTAGAACTCATAACACAGGTTAGCTACATTGATAGATTTCAATGGATTGATTTCAATGGCTCAATTAACTGAGATGTTCTTTGGATCAGGCTCCATATGACAGAAATTGACTTTACAAACCCACAAGTCCTGGTGAAGTTTCTGGCCATAACAAATTAAGGCTGTGCTTTCTTTTGAATCAAAACCCAACACAAAACTTCTGCACTGAAATGTGACTAGTAAATGGATGATGATGATGATGATGATGATGATGATGATGATTTCATTGCCCTATCACCCCAACTCTAAAGCTCTGTGAGGAGTTTAAAGAGGTTTAAGGATATTTATATGGATAGAACTATAAAGACTCTCATTCGTTTCATGGGGAAAAGTTAGTATTGCTGTTATCTAAGTGTCTGGAATATTTTTAAAATATTACAATGTTCTTCAAGGTTCTTCACTGGGATGAAGTTAAAGAGAATGGCAGACCCAGAAATGGAAGGTATCTGGTAGCCAGAAGCTATGGATATTCAGCAACAAGATTAAAGGTACCTATGAAAAAACCTGAGTAGAGTTCTGGAGTACAGGCAGTCCCCAAGTTATGAACATCCAAATTATGAACAAATTGTACTTCTGAATGAACTGCCACAAAGCCTATTAATTAAAAATGCATAAAATCATCATTGCCATAGAGAGAGAGAGGAAACAAAATGGGAGTGAGGGAAAGCCTCCAAAGGAAAAACAGGGACCATGAATTTTCAGTAAAATCTTTGCACATTGTGTAGAAAGAAGTACTTTTTGGAAATACATTGTCATGAAAAACTTTCAGATGTGAAATTGACATCCCCACTTTTAGCTGCATGTGCACTAGAATATGTCAGGTATGTTTGCATCACCTTTGCTGAACTTTTGGGTAAAACTGAGTGTAGATTGGACAAAGTTTACCAGACATGTTGAACTGCTTCATACATAGCAGGTATCTCTTGAAGTGCCTCTCAATGCAGATATTTTCTCACTTCACCACAGGAACAAGAAAAAACTGAGCGCTGCCCCAAGCCCAGACCTGCTCCTGAACCAACATGCCCCAGAGCAAGACCCTCTCCTGAACCAGCATGTCCTAAACCTCGTGATAGCAGGCGACCCATTCCTCGTCCATGCCCAGAACCAGAGCCTGAACCTTGTCCCAGAAGAGAACCATGTCCAAGAAGAGTGAGTGGTGGAAATATCTGGGCAATGCAATCTTGAGCTATCCATCCATCCAAACTATAGGTTATCCCAAAATATATTAAATGGGTTAACAAAAGTCATGACGAGGTTAAGACAAAAGCAGGGGATTTTTTTAAAAAAAGGTGGAACCCACATTTCACATTTCTGTTTAGTCATGAGCTTTACTGGGTGACTATGGATCAGTCATACTTTCTGAGTTTAGCCTTGTTGTGTTGGACATCCAACTGGATCACTCCCATGGATGCTCCCTTGAGCTCCATGGAGAAAGATTTGCGATTCAAATGAAACTGCTGTGCATTTCAGAGTAAGCATCACTGAATACAGAAGGGTTTCCAGGAAAAGTGCTCAAGATTAAGCTATAAGTTTTTTAAAAAAAATCTTGTGAGAAAGTTATTAACAAACGTATCTGTCCATTTATTTAGATCACTATGTTAAAATAAGCAACACAAGACCAATAGAGGGAGAAAACATTCGGGGTTTTATGAATCAGCTAAATATTTTTAAATCCAGCTAATAAAAGCCTGTTTTTAAAAAGAAACACTGAAAAAGATAGGAAAATTATATTTTTTAAATAAATAAATAGAATTCAGTGCAGGGTTGGTTTCAAAGAGAACTATTAGATGGATTCAGATGTAATTAAGGAATAATTACAATGGAATAGTTTGGTGTCAAGAATAATATTGAATTATCCATACCTCTGCTTATAAAGAATGATAGCATTGAAAGGGAACAAGTATTTATCCAAGGAAAAGGGGAGATCCTCCAAGCCTACCTGAGCCCTTGCTTTTGGGACACTGCTGCTAGTTTCTAAATCTGTAAGAAGTCTAAATCACATGAGACAGCAGAAAGTATAAATGGCTACACAAGTTATCACTTGGAGAAGAGACACATCAGAGCACATGTGGGAATTATGTGCTGCATATCATTAGACCAAATCTTCCTTTTTATTGTTAGAATGTTCCAGACTATGTGTGTGAAAAACCAGAAGGAGTCCATACAGCATTCAGCAAAATCCTGGCAACTCTCAATAAACCTAGCACCAACTATGCACTGAGTATTGCTGACAAGGTGTATGGAGACATTTCCATCGATTTCATCCAGGTAAACCTAATTGTGAACCATATGAGTAGCGAGCGGTATTGTGGGAATCAAAGCACTGAGTAAGCAGGCTTGATTGAATTATAGCACATGAGAATTTGACTTCTATCTGCAACAATAAAAGTGTGTCTCATTTCCAAGCCAATAGAGGGAACTGTAACTGATTGCCTTTTTTACAAAACAGTTCGCCAGAACAGACCAATGTTCTGAAACAGTAGGGGCGATTAAAATATGAGATAGTTACCAAGGTTTTTTCAGTGGTTGTCCCTGCTCTGTGGAACTCTGTTTAAGGAACCCCATCCAACTACATCTCTCCTAGCTTTTAGGAGATTGACAAAAACATTTCTTTTCACAAAGACTTTGGTTGTACTCTTCCTAATTTGAAAGTTATTTGCATTGTTATTCTTATATTAACTGATTCATTTTTCTGCTACTTCTCCCCAGAAATTCCTTTTCTGTGCTCTGAAACTGTACCGCACAGAAGTAGAAGGAGCTGACCTGCATAATGCTCCAGAGGAAGTGAGGAGACTCGCAAACCTTTGGGTTGAAATCCAGACACATGGTGCGCACAATTGACTACTTCTTATCATGTTCAGAGACGATTTAGTGGAAATTAGCAACCAAATGAAACTTTGTGGAAGTATCCAGTGAGATAAGAGAAGGACTTTTTATAACCAGTAAATATATTATTCGTTAAAGATCCATGTGCTGTGCTGTAAAATCAAAATAATAATCCAGCAATCCATGTGATATCACATCAACTTTCCTCAAAACTGCAGAAACTTCAACTTTATATAGTCTTCTATCTATCCAAACTGTTCTGCCACAAATGCTGAGCTACAAGTTAAGTAACTTTTAATTTGCAACATAATGTGATAGCTAAAAGAGTAATTAAAGGGTTTTGTATCCATTTCTCTGTAAGATAAAGTCAAGGATCTCCTCCCCAAGAACAGCTTTGATTGCCTTGCTCAGCTGGTCCAGGTGAACAGTCTCTACTTCAAAGGGTGTTGGGAAGTCAAGTTTGACAAGGAACTCACGGTAGAAGCTCCGTTCTATACACATGATGCAGATGAGGTGAGCTATATGTACATGTAACTGTGTCTACCTGTTCACAGAGCCATAGAAAGGACCCGGATTGATGGCTTCCTTGCACATGTAGCAGGGGTGTCTTGAAGAGTGGTGGGAACGGCGTTTCCCCAGCGGGACTTGATGTAGGCCCCTCTGACAACTTGGTGCCAAGATGGGTCCTCTGTTCCACCACAGCCTTTCCTTTAGAGAAAAATGCCTCCATGCAATTGATGTTATGTATGGTGATGTGCCATTAGACCCAAAGGACCCCGGCTCAGTGCTAGCCAGTGCTCTTCGTTCCCTTTTCAGAGGGACTGCCAGCAATGCGGCCAATAATGCACAGGAAGGGGGTGCAGCATAGCACCCAGCATTTTCCGTTGACCAGCCCAGGAGGAGCACCAGCCTTCAGGGCTTTCCTCACAGTCAGGGAAAGCACACTGGATTTCTTCCATGCGGTGGGGCGGGCTCTGGGAAAGGTGCTTCGCAGATTGTGTCCGGAGTTCCTGCTTCCCCGCTCTCTGACATCTGAGATCGATTGGTGCTGGGAAGCACCATTATCCCAGAGATCCATGCTGCACTGCCGAGGAAGAGCCTGCCACCCAAAGCAGAGGAAGTCATTTCTCAGCACTTTAATGCGCACTTTTCTTTCTTTCTCTTGTTCTCTTTTCAGAGGAACTGCCCCACTGTGCAGCTGATGCACAGGAAGGGTGTTTACAACACAGCAACTATTGACATCTGTGGCGAGGAGGTGCAGGTGCTTGAAATCCCCTACAAAGACAAGGAGCTGAGCTTCTTTGTGCTGCTGCCAACAGACTGCAGCGCTGAAGCCCTTCAGCAGGTAAGCCGCCTCCCAGCTGCTTCCTGTCAGCCATTCAGCTCATGCACCTACTCTCCCTCTGCAGACTCTGCAGTGGCCTTGAGCTGGAATGATATCTCTGCAATGTCTCTCTCTTGCTCTAGCTGGAAGATGGACTCAGCCATGAGGACCTGCTCGACCTGTCCTGCGAGCTGAAGTCTGCCGAGGTGGATGTTTCCCTACCCAAGTTCTGCTTGGAGAGGAGCCTCCACCTCCTTGAGTACTTGAATCTGCACAACCTGATGGATCCCGAAAAGGCTGATTTCTCTGGAGCAACATCGACAGAAGACGTGGGTGTGACTGCACTAATCCACAGCGCACACGTTGCGATTGATGAGGATGGTGGGGAGGAACCGGAGGCACGCCGCTGCCCTCGGGACAGGCGTCCCCGCCGAGAATGTGTGCTTTTCCAGGCTAATCACCCTTTCCTGTTTTACATCCAGCACAATTGCAGCCAAAGCATCATTGCATTTGGCAGGTTCTCCAGGCCAGAGTAAAGGGAAATTTCTGATCCTTACAACACAATCAAGGGAAATGAACACGGAAAATGTTTTTTGGAAAATGCGCTCTTTCTTCGCTTTGCCTCAGTCTAATATTTGGTGGTGGGCCTTATCTTCATGGGATGACAATGATATCATCTTTGTCTGCTGTTTGCCTCTCTGGATGATATCAGGTCATCTTTTCAAAGAATACCCTTCTTTTACTGGATATTATTCCTGCTCTTTCAATCCAAATTGTCATAGCGTAGCCAACATAACTGAAAAGTCTTCATCCAGAATAGAAGTCTTTTGTCTCTTTAAGATATCTGAAAAATGGAGGTTCAGTTTCTCCACCCGGGAAACACTGTGGTGGGAGGGAAAATCTTGGGTTTTTTTAAAGGGGACTTTCCCTTTGGAGATACTGTCATCATGAGTAAATTGGGACTTGTTGGTCAGTCTCAGTGCTGACAGTAGCTGTTACGTGTTGTACAAAGAGGCTGAAATGGTGCTGAAATAATTCTGGGCTGGAGTGTATTACTTAAAAATGATTCACTGAGGTAGCCTGCAGGCATGAATATGTCATCTGCTCTGGAATCTGTTTTTGACGCAACTCTGCAGGTTGCTTCTTGATACAATCTAGCTTAATAAAGGAAAGACACCTGTTCAGATTGCATTGCCTAAAGTCAGTCTTTTGCTCTCATCTTATATCCACTGACCTTAGAGTAAGCCTGTGTGAACTCAATAGTACTTACCTTTCATTAGACTGTGCTGTTTATCTGTAGACTGAAAAGAAGCTTTCAAGATCAAAAGGAAACAATGAAAACCTTTGTACTTTGCTTGTGATTTTATGGCATTTCTTTCATTTATATAAAACGTATTGTATCTTTCTTCTTGACTTGAACTCCAGCTGCACAATATCTTAATAAACAAGGCATTTACTAAACTGTGGTTCTGTAGTTTTCACTAATGGATATCTCACAGAATATGTGTTCTAAGTATTCACCCCTTTAATTATGGTTTCAATTTTTCACAATAAGACAGGCTTAACCCCTTTTCACTGTCATGGATCACTTTCCAGGGCACTGAAAAGGCATTAAGCCTGTCTTATTGTGAAAAATTGAAACCATAATTAGAGAGACGAATCCTTAGAAACCAGGATGCCAGATTGCATGACAGGGTTGAATGACAAGCAACCCTGTGATCTTTCCAAGGTGTGCGGAATTTTAACTAGATTTGCCTGACAAACAATTAAGTGGTTTCTAAGCTAGCATGGTTTCACCCTCCTCATTCAGTCCTCTACCTATTGGCATGTATCCCATCAGCCACAAAAGTTAAATGTGAATCTGCCCAAGATCTTGTTGGGTGTCATTCCAATTTACTGTTGGGCCACATGGTCAGTAGGAAATCTGAAGTTCGTAGTACAGTCTCCTTTGGCCTTTAAGCCTGTGTGGGACCAAGATTTGGAGCCTTCTGCAAAATACAGTCTAGTCAATTACTCCTTTAGTATCTATGCCCCTGCCTGTGTTAGTGCCTCATCCATCACTGGACAGAGGAGAGATAGGGCAGCTTCTCTTGATTTTAGATGCAGCTACCAATTGCCCACATGCTGTTCAAATATGGCTCGATAGTCCCCTTCCAGAAGTTCCACATCACACATTAACTAAGGGAACACTTCAAGGAATGTGGGGAAAATGCCATGTTTTATGTTTCTTGTGTTTTCAAAAGCATGCTTGTAACTAACCACTCATTTTCTTTAGACATGTCAGTTTCCAACTAAATCTAGGAAATATCTTGGACTGAACAACTTGAAGATAAGATAGAGGTGTGACATCTGGGGCTTGGGTGGTAGGCTGGAAAGAGCAGGACACCAGGAACAGGGTGCTGGTGTATGGCTAGGTTCTGTACCTTAGAAGAGCTAGAGACGGGTGGCGTGGTAACAGTCCAGGGTCAGAGGCAATGTGGCAGGCAGTCAAATATGGTACAGGAGTGGGGGGAGAACGCCCACAGTTCAGAAACAGTCCAGTGGTCTGACACCTGGGAAGCAGCCACATAAAGGCAGCCCAGACAAGAGGGGGAGGGGCAGGGCTCAGAGATGGAGACACCAGAGCACAAGGAACCACCAAGGCAACTTGAGCTGCTGTGGCAAAGACCAGCAGTGTCAGGAAGCCTTTTATGCTGGTCTCCAGGGCCTCCAGTGGCACTGTGTAAGTGCTCCTCAGGTCATCCTTGCAAGTGCCTGAAAAGGTGTTCCTGGTTCTACAGGCACTTTCAGGGTCACTCAGGCCCTCATCCTGACAAGAGGCACCTCTAGTTCAGGGGTGGCCAAACTGAGTCTCACAAGCTGCATACGGCTCCTTGAATTTATTCTGTGGCTTGCAGAGGGCCCTAGCTTGAGAGCATGAGTGTGAGAGACTGGAGGTGAGTGTGCATGCACATTATGCTTGGCAGGCCTGGGCCAGGTAGGTATGTTTCTCCTCCTTTGTGGGAGTTCATCGCTGAGTCGCGCTGTAGTTAAGTACGCCACGACAGCCAATAGTATTGTATTTACCTATGTAACCACATAAGGCTTGTAACCATATAAAGCTATTTGTAAGCTTCGTGTATTCTGCGTCTGCGCAAAGCAGTAGGGTGTTGGCCGTCTGTACTCGACGACCAATTGGTTGTATGCAAATGCCTATGTAAAGCTGTGTAGTAATAAAAGGAGGTGCCGGAGGGGAGGGGGGAGTTCTTTCTTTGTTCTCCCCCTGCAACTAAACCGAGCATGCTTTGTAACTGATCTCCAGACTGCAGTTTTTCTTTCTCTCGTGTAACTTTCTCGCGCCTTTGTCGGAGCCGGACTCCGACACCCCTTCACTCCCTCCACACAAGTAACCCTGCCCCCTCTGGCCCCTGGCCAGGCAGCCATTTTGGGGAAAGCTTTGCTATGATTCAGTCTAGAGAACTATAGCTATGGGGAGTGAGCTGGGGCCTGGTCTGTGAGCACAGCCTTGTGTGGAGAAAAGGGACGATGAATCAGACTTGAAGTAGTATTGAACAGTAGCCTGTGTCTATGGGAAAACTGTGGTATGGAGGGAGCATGGGAAAGCTTAGGATGAGCCAGGGGTGGGAGTGTAAGTAAGTGGACCTTTGGGGGCAGGAATTTGGGGAAACAAATGAAAACAGTGGCTAAGGGACCAGTGTTAAAATTAATGAGAGAGCAGCTTGGGGTAGTTGGAGAGCAGCTGTGGAAATGTTGTGGGAGGAGCATCTGGGGTAGCTTGATGGTGCTATAGTTGGTAGGGATTTGGGAGGAGGTGGCAACGGGTGGAGCCCTGACTGTGGAATGCGCTCTCCAGAGAGGTCCGCCTGGTGCCGACGTTATATGCTTTTCAGCGCCAGGTCAAGACTTTTTTATTTTCCCATAATTTCAATGTTTAAATCTTTTAACTATGTTTTATGCTCAGTCATGGATTGTTATGGATTATTATGGGTTTATATGTATTATTGGGTGTTTGGATTGTAAGCCGTCCAGAGACGCACAACATAATTGGATGGGATAAAAATACCCAAATAAATAAATAAAAACAGAAGAGAGGACAGTTGGGGGACCCACTCTGAGGTGTTTGTGCAGCAAATGGGGTTTGAAGGAGAGCACAGTGGCATTAGGAGGCCGGGAGGTTGGAGCTATGTAGGGGAGCTGAGTTGCAGCTGGATAGAGGAGGAAGGCTACAGTAGGCCTCAGAATGCAAAGCTGAGCATGGTCAAGGCGGACTGGTGTGTGTTTTCTAGGGTAAATGGGAGAAGTGAAGGCATCAGGGATGAAGTAGATCCAGAACTGAAGTGAGAGTATAGGAAAGAAACGATCACAACTTCAGTAGGTGGAAGGTAATTGTGGGATTGGATTAAGTGGGTATGGATGGCAAGAAATAGAAAGTGTGATGTTTGGAGACGCAAGTCTTTGCAGTGTTAAGTAGGGCATAGTTGTTTTTATGGCACATGAAGAACTGGCCTTGTAGGGTGAAGTTGGGGAGATTACTGGCTTGTAGTGGAAGAACTTGTTATGAACTAGAAATGGAAAAATGTGATAGATCAAAACTGTTACTGTATCGGCAAATACAGGGTCGTATTCTATGAAACAACATTTGCTTTCTTTTCGAAGTTCTAAACTGTGTTCAAGAATAAATATGTGCAACTATCTCTTGTCTTCCTGCACAGAGCCAATGCTGACTGTCCAGTAAACTCTATCATAGTTCCTGCTGTGCAGGCAGGTTGATATGGGAGTGTTGTAGGGGTGCACAGACAGAGTATCTGGAATAAAGGAAGGTTTTATAATTGTGTAGTGCTGAAGTCTTTGACCATAGACACTTGTTAGTTACCTCTGCCTCCTCATTTAGGATTGGGCAGTGATTCTTTAGTAGTATCGGTGTCTGGCTGCATTAATAGATGTTTTGCTGCCCATGACATGTGCATTTCATGCTTATTTCTATGTTAACTATGTGTTAATAGAGCTACAGAGAAATGGTTTTGCTGATAATAGCAGTTTTGTCTACCTTGCACTGGCAGTACTTGGGGTATTGCAAAATTTATGTAAACTGTTTGCCAATAATGGTTTGAGGAAAATGGAACAACCCTTAGGGTCAGGGAGGGATTGTAATGAAGCAATACAGCATCACTGTAATAAGAACTGATTATTTCTTTTGCATGCTTATTAATTCTGAATGGTGGGCTTTAAGATATAAATGCTTATGATTAGAATATCAGTACTGGTGATCTTTAAAATAAAATGGAAAGTACAATACAAAAATAAAGCCCCAGTGACTTGTGTTCTTTCAGTAGCCATTGCTGGGGAATGGAATGCTAAATATATTTTTTAAAAAGTAAGAGTTTTGAAATGTTGATATGTATTTCAGATTAACCAGACATGTATTCAGTTTGTGTAAACCCATAGCCAAGATGAAGAGTGACAAGACCCCTACTAGCAGTAACTAGCATGATAACTGTAGCAACATCTGTTTGGTCATAATAAATAAATATTTGTT